ACCGCTACCACTACCACTACTACTCCTACTACTACTACTACTACTACTACTACTCCTGCACAGACTGCTGCTGCCACTGTTGCTGATACTGCTACTGCGACTACGACTGCGACGACGACGACGACGACGACCACGACCACTGCCACTACCACTGCGACGACGACTAACACTACTCCTGCTCAACAGCAACAACAACTACTACCACCACCATCAGTGCTACTGTACTACTATTGTATCACTGCACTACTACTATACTACTGTACGTCTACGACACGAACACTACTGTATCACTCCTTTACTAATGCTGTACTAGTCTACCAACTCTGTACTACCATACTACTGCTGTACCTCTACCGTCTTACACCCCTCTCAAGAGCCTATATCCCTCTCACTGCCTGGCCGCGCCACTGACACCCACAAGTTTTTGAAGAGTCAATCTCCCTCTGAAGCCCCGGAACGCACCACACCCATGCACCGGGACTGGGGCGGTCCCGAGCACACTATTCAGTATTCCAGGCACCGGAATATGCTTGAGGAGAGGGGCTACATAAAACCTGCTCCCACAGTACATTAGGATAAAAGGCGAAATCTGCTACATAAGTCAAGAAGGGCTTGTTGCCCTCAGAGTTTAAATGCAAAGCCGTACCAAGCAGAGCCCAGGAACGGCATGCTAGCAAGGCCGTAGAGGTGCGCAACTCTCTCTGCGTCGAAAAGCTCGTTCATGACCAAAGACAACAGAACAACGCGACCTCCGGAACAGCAACCATAAATGGCAGAAAATACCCTCAGTTCTGCGGCATCGTCGCAGAAGGGCAGACAGATTAAGGATGTTCCCTGCGCGAGCAGCACGACTAGCAAAAGCCTCGAAGGCTTCACGCATGTAGAGAAAAGGCCGAAGCAAAGACGAGCAGCTGCACCTGATATACCAAGCAGTGAAGTTAGCTCTCCTGAGATTTCCAGGCCCCTCTCTGTTTCAGCATAGTACACGAGGTGCGCGTAGGGCACCATGAAGCCAATGCCATAGAGGAACAAAGCGGCGTTGAGCAGCAAAAACTGCAAGTCTCTGAAAGGCTGTAAGAACTCTCGGACATCGCTGTGGCTTTTCAACTCTCGGCAGTTGGTGGTGGATTCTTTGGTCTGCTTGTGGTGGCGAAGACTGAACCACAGAGCCACCAGGGAAACGAACAGCAGCAGGCCAAAAGCCCCGCAGCAAATCCGAAGCGCACCCCTCCAGCTGAAGCTGTCCAGCAGTAGGTTGAGGCCCAGGTTAACCACGACAGTTCCTAGGCCTCCACCGGACGAAGCCAGACCCACAGCCACAGGCAGAAAGCTCGGACTGATATGGCCTGGACCATAGAGGGCCGCCAGGGCCGCCGTGAAGAGAATGGCCATGGCCACCCCACCAACCAAACTACAGGTTATGAAAAGGACGTAACTGGAGGGGGCGTAGCTGTCTGCAAGCATGCCGAGCAGAAGTAAACCTGCTCCAATGGCAGCCATCCGCACGAAGCCGACGCGCTGGACCACGAATCCAGCCGGCGCAGTGCACAAGTGGGACAGGAAGTCCCGAATCGAACCCACAAGTGCCAGGGTGCTGGCTGCATTGCCTGTGTCTGCCTTCAGTGCAGCGAAAAGTGTGCCATAGGAGTAGAAGATACCCAAGACCACCACCTGCACGAGGAAGGAGGCCACGACCAAGCAGGCTTGCTGCAAGCCAGAAAGCACCGATCCTGCCTTCTGAGCTTCGGGCATGATGCAGGCAAAGGGCTTGCAACCTCCCGCTAACTACAGTGCAAAGCTTGAGAAAATGAACGAAGGATCGCGAGTCGTTCCATCATGGATGTCCGGTCAGGCATGTTAACACTCCGCCCTGAATGAAGCTCCTCGATGCCCCACCACAAGCAAGACATCTCTACGCCCTATAACCATCGAGACAACCTGAACTTGCACACGCACACACACGAACACGCACGCGCGCACACACTCCGTATATGCGCTCCCAATCTTGTGAAGTTTCATGCAGCATCAGGTAGGAGCGTCGTTACACCGGAGCTCAAGATTAACGATGCCCTTGCTGTATGTGGGTTTGGATTCGGGATGACCTAGGGAGTTCTGCACGGGCACGATGATGAAGAATCCCTCGGACAGGAAGCTAAACCCGGCATTTTCGGAACACGGTTCGCGTGAATTCATGGGCCCTTGCCGGATTCACTAGGAACCCCTAATACAGGAAGCGGGAGTCCTGAACGAAAAAAGTAGCACGCAGCGGTGCGATGCAGTGTGCATGGTAGAGCGGCTCAAGTTGCACCTGAACTCCTGACTGTTGCAGGGAGAAGGTCTCTCTTGCCCAAGAGTCTAATTAAAGCTTGCACCTTGCACCGGGCAATCCGTCCGATGCATCGCAGGACGGAGTCAGCTGATCCCGATGATCCACTCTCGCCGGATCTTCCATAACCAACGAAGGCTTCTCGATGGATCGCCGACAAAAAACTGCCAAGCAAAAGACAGGGACTGCCGCGAGCGCGATCCCACCTGCCGCGAAGAAAGCTCCCTCATAGTGGCCATTGAGGTCCTAAGCTGTCGAGAAACCGCTGGGAAGAAGTATATATATTTCTTTGGGTCAGTTATACTAGGAATCAATACCAACTAAAAGAAAAATATACTACCCCTGAACATGCTAGGGTCATAGACTTTGCCGACAAAGGGAGGGCCAAGAAGCGAGCCGACTGCGATCCTCGGCGTGGTCATGAGGCAAGGAAAAGGCAAAGTGAACCAGGGCTTCTTGCCCTCTGATTCAGCGCTATGTGTGTTGTGTGTATATATGTGAAATATATGCATGTATGTATGTATGTATGTATGTATGTATGTACGTATGTATGTATGTATGTATGAATGTACGTATGTATGTATGTATGTATGTATGTATGTATGTATGTATGTATGTATGTAGGTATGCATGTATGTATGTATGTATGTATGTATGTATGCATGCATGCATGCATGTATGTATGTATGTATGTATG